ACTAAATCAACAGATTTAAAAATGTGATATTTTTATTTTTTGCTTTGTAGGACTAAACAATTTAGTATTTAATTTAAATATTATTATTAACATAACATAACATTAAACAAAGAAATATTTATGAAAGCTGTAAAAACTATTGTATATCTGATAAATCAATTGCAACTTAACTAGACTTTTTTGCTTTATTGTACAAAAATGTAACATTATTAAATAATATTAAACTGAAAAATATATAATACTATTTCATAGTAAAATAAACTGAATATCTAAGAAACATAATAGTAATTTTATTTTATAGTATAATAGTAAAATTATAATATTAATACTTAACTCCTCATTTCTTTATTTTCAAAACTCAAGCTTTCATTTTGGTGCAAAACCGTGGGAAGCCCTCGAAGTTTCAGGTTTATAAATCTCATTACAAATCTGGTGTAACGGCTGGTGCATGTTGTTTTCCCAATGCACGTTATAATCGACCCAAACTCACAACAAACACAGAGATGAGTTTGTGTGCAGCAGCATTTACGGCAAACCAAGCCACACTGAGACACTGAATATACCGCATCCTGAGCTTCATTCACACAGCATGTATATTTATCTCATTAAATTGCAGCTTTTGATAAGCCGTATTGCAATTTTTATTTTATTTTAATTAATCCTTTAGCCCTTAAATTTATAGTAAGTGGCAGCTGAAACCTCTTTTACTTTCCCAAATCGAATATTAGAGCAAATTTCGACAATAAATTCCTTTCCTCTGGAGACATGGCATCGCATCCAAGACCACAAATTTTCGCACCATAATTACTGACATCCGCATAGCAGTAATTCAACACATGACCAGCTAACCTGGCGCATCATGTACTTACGCTCCCTGAGGTTGCCTCATCATCGCAGCCCCCAGGATTCGACTAGGCGCTGCTTTATCTTCCATCTTCCTGCTCGGGGGGTTGCTAATGGCAACAGAGAGTGTGAAGTTTTCCAACATGGTGCCGTCCATCTTCAGCACAGCCTGCGAGGCCTGCGCTTCGTTCTCATATTCCACATACGCCAAACCCTACAGAACACACACGCATTAATGTGAACACTCAACAATATACGAAATAGGAATATCGGTTCAACGTTTGGACATGTAATGCATCTAGAGGAATATGAACATTATATGAAAAAATTAGCTTGGAGATGACTATACATACAGGGTTTCAGCAGGTTTTATAAAGTCAATATGTTCTTCTCTAAATGTAAACATCTAGCGAGCAGACAATGAGTTGTATTAGCAACACTTCAAGGTTTGAAACTTCCAAATAATTCTCCATTACTATTTAACTCACTTGAAAAAAAAAAAAAAAAAAGTCTTGAATTGCTTTTACTGTTCTTTCTGATCTCACTGCAGAAAATGTGCTGTTCTTCCTCATTAGTTTTGTCTGGTTTTCCACTGCAAATATCTAAAATATTCTTGAATCAAAATACATTTACTTGAGAAATTAAATGACACAATAAGTCTTGATTTATGAGAAATTCGTAAAAAAATTAAATGAGTTCATGATTAACCTTGACAAGGTTCATGACAAACCATGGTTCACTGCAAAACTCAGATGTCATTCTGTTACACTGTGGAAGCTTCTGTCACGAAAACAAATTCCTCGTATGTGTAAACATACCTGGCAATAAAGCTCATTCTGATTCTGATTCTGATTCTGATGATTAAAACAAGAACAAAAATCTTCCATTGGGCTCAGAAAAATCGACTTAATTCAAATGGAAAACAAGTTTTTATACCCTATTGACAGATCTTTATTATGGTTTTAAGTATTAACTCAATTTTGTTCAGTTTCTCAGAAAACAAGACTTATATCTTCATTTTGCAGCTCAAAAGAATGTATCTTGATTTAAGGATGTTAGATATTTGAATTGGACAAAATACTGAAGATGACAAAAATACTGAGGAAGGTATTCATTTTTGGCTGTGCATACAACACTTAATGCCATGACTATTTCTGAACTTATTTAAGACCTTCATTTGTGGAAGGGTGAATTAAGACCAGCAAAAATTACAGTTCTTTCAAAAGTAGAGAATCATTATGATTTTAAAAAGTCTCTTATTTGTCTCTTAAAAAGTCTCTTATGCTCACCAAGGCTGCATTTATTATCAGAAATATACAGTAAAAACGGTAATATTGCAAAATATTATAATTTGAAATTAAATTTAAAAATATATTGAAATAGAAAATAGTTATTTATTCCTGTGGTGACAAAGCTCAATTTTAAACATCATTACTACAGACTTCAGTTTCACGTGATCTTTCAGAAATCATGCTAATATGCTGATTTGCTGCTCAATTATTAGTTGTGCTCGCTTATTAATAATGGTTATTATTATTATTATTACTACTACTACCAGTTTTAACAGTTTTTGCAGCTTAATATTTTGTTGAAACATTTCAGGATTCTTTGAACAAAGTAAAAAAAAAAAAATTAAAAAAAAGGATTTATTTGAAATAGAATCCTTTGTAAAAATTATCACCTTTTTACAGTAACTTCTGATCAAATGTAATTGTAATGGACTGTATACATTCATTTTATATATGCACTATATTCTGCAGGATACTGGGACAGTCTTACCGTATATTTAGATTATTGACAGAGGCCTACCACACACCTTGGGTTTGCCGGAGCGGTTGGTGATAAGCCGGATGGCTTTCACTGTGCCGTGCTGTTTACAGAGATCCTCCAGTGTCTCTTTAGTGCAGGAGTACGGCAGGCCCGAGATAAAGATCTTGTGCTTCTCCACTGCTGTTTTGTACTTAAAAACCTAAGACACATTATACAAATGATTCACATTTTAAAAATGATAACCAATAAGAAATGTACTACAAATTGTTCACTTGAACATCAAGAAACACTATATCACAAATTGAGTACTATACATTCTAGATACCTTGAAGTCAGGATTCTTATTCTTGTCCACACAAGGAGACACATATATGGGCCGCCCATCCACCTCCTGCCTGTCCAGTTTCAGTGCCTCAGATACAGCCAGTCTGTCCTCAAACTGCACATAGCAATAGCCTCTAAACGCACCTTTCACTGTAAACACAGGCCGCACCTGCTGTACAGTCCCACAACCCTGAAAAAATGTTCGCAGCTTGCCCTCTGGGTCCTCCAGATTAAAAGCCAAGTTACTGACAAATACACTATCTTCATCTTTGCGCTGCTCCTTTGACATGTCCTGGGGTTGTCGCGGGGCTTCAGACAGTCCCTGTAGGTTCTTACGGAAACCGGGTGGCTCAGATTTACGTGGTGGTGGAGCTCGGCGGCCGAAAAGCCCACTTTCTGTCTCCATGAGGTCCTCTGTGGCTGTGCTACCAAAGCCTTCCTCCCCTCGGAGCCTCTTGGACGGCAGCTCTGCACACATTTGATATGTCAGTACAGCTGAAGTCTAAACCACACTTGTTTGGAAATTACTTCCAATTTCTCTAAAAACAGATTTTTTTTTTAACACAACTAACAGAATTATGCAACTTCATCCATACCTTCATCCTCTCCCCATTCCTCCTCGTACTCATCTTCAGCTTTCCGTTTATCCCCAGTTCTGTTTGCTTTCTGGCTCTTCTTTTGGGCTTTTTTATCTGCCTTGGCTTTTCTCCTGTGCTCGGCTTTCTCCTCCTCTTGTCTGGTTAGGAGAGCCTCTTTTTCAGCCACCTGCAGAAACAGCATTTAAACAGCTCA